AAGGTAGTTGAAATAAATGATTAAACTAGGTGAACATGGTATATCAATGGTAATAATATGGCTCTGGGCGCATTAAATATATGTAGCTATGTAGGTAGATGTAGGTATGTAGCCCAGGTGGACTACGTACCTACATTATTATTATAACTGATACTTTTATGTATCTGTACCTAAGTAAACTTACACACTGTGCTGGCATGCAGGTACACATTAAAATCACTAAGGGTGTCTTATTAGTCTTAAAGATGCCATATTAATAATAATAACACACAGTAATAATCACTCTGAGGAGCATTAAATATCGTATAAAACATTAATATAGACATTTTGCTTAATCCATCTAAATACACCCCACAGTAGAATAAATTAACATAAATACGAGATGTGGTAGCCAGGCAACTTGTAGGACTTGTGGTAGCCAGGCAACTTGTAGGACTTGTGGTAGCCAGGCAACTTGTAGGACTTGTGGTAGCCGCATGACTTGTAGTCCAACAACAGAGAAAATGTGTACACTATAATATTACTGGGGGTAGCTAGAAAATTATTCCTTTCGTATGCCTTCACTCAGGGCATCATTTCTTTTAAAAATGGTGTTACATGAGAATGGGAGTGCTTCTCTTTATTTATTCTACTGTATCAACATGGAGACAACTTGTACACAATGTAAAGTGATGAAAGCCAGACGTGTTCGCTGGGTTTGTTTACATTACGTGTGGGTGGGGTGGGGAGGGCTTCCCTGGCTGGATACCATACTTCTCAAACCTGTCCTCCTACAAATAAAACTCACCTCTCACCCTACATTAAGATTACAAATATTTTAAGGTAATTAATGAATGTAATTAATGAATGTAAGGTAATTAATGAATGAATATAAAGAGTTGTACTGGCCAGATGGTAACATCAACACCAACAATCACTTTCAAAGCTGAAGGGGGTGGGAGAGTTTCAGTGGAGAGGAATAAATGGGATTAGGTCAGGGGTTTCAAATAGAGTTAGAGCTAAAGAAGGAGTAGCAATAATGTTGAAGGATAAGATATGGCAGGAAAAGAGGGACTACAAATGTATTAATTCAAGGATTATGTGGAGTAAAATAAAGGTTGGATGTGAAAAGTGGGTTATAGTAAGTGTATATGCACCTGGAGAAGAGAGAAGTGTAGAGGAGAGAGAGAGATTTTGGGAAATGTTGAGTGAATGCGTGGGGAGTTTTGAACCAAGTGTGAGAGTACTTGTGGTTGGGGATTTCAATGCTAAAGTGGGTAAAAATGTTGTGGAGGGAGTAGTAGATAAAATTGGGGTGTCAGGGGTAAATGTAAATGGGGAGCCTTTAATTGAGCTTTGGTAATTTGAGATTTGGTAATAAGTAATACATATTTTAAGAAAAAGAGGATAAATAAATATACAAGGTATGATGTAGCACGTAATGAAAGTAGTTTGTTAGATTATGTATTGGTGGATAAAAGGTTAATATGTAGGCTCCAGGATGTACATGTTTATAGAGGGGCAACTGATATATCGGATCATTATTTAGTTGTAGCTACAGTTAGAGTAAGAGGTAGATGGGACAAGAGGAAGGTGGCAACAACAAGTAGGAGGCAAGTGAAAGTGTATAAGCTAAGGGAGGAGGAAGTTCGGGTGAGATATAAGCGACTATTGGCAGAAAGGTGGGCTAGTGCAAAGATGAGTAGTGGGGGGGGTTGAAGAGGGTTGGATGAGTTTTAAAAATGCAGTATTAGAATGTGGGGCAGAAGTTTGTGGTTATAGGAGGGCGGGGGCAGAAGGAAAGAGGAGTGATTGGTGGATTGATGAAGTAAAGGATGTGATAAAAGAGAAAAAGTTAGCTTATGAGAGGTTTTTACAAAGCAGAAGTGTTATAAGAAGAGCAGAGTATATGGAGAGTAAAAGAAGGTGAAGAGAGTGGTGAGAGAGTGCAAAAGGAGAACAGATAATAGAGTGGGAGAGGCACTGTCAAGAAATTTTAATGAAAATAAGAAAAAATTTTGGAGTGAGTTAAACAAGTTAAGAAAGCCTAGGGAACGTATGGATTTGTCAGTTAAAAACAGAGTAGGGGAGTTAGTAGATGGGGAGAGGGAGGTATTAGGTAGATGGCGAGAATATTTTGAGGAACTTTTAAATGTTGAGGAAGAAAGGGAGGCGGTAATTTCATGCACTGGCCAGGGAGGTATACCATCTTTTAGGAGTGAAGAAGAGCAGAATGTAAGTGTGGGGGAGGTATGTGAGGCATTACGTAGAATGAAAGGGGGTAAAGCAGCTGGAACTGATGGGATCATGACAGAAATGTTAAAAGCAGGGGGGAATATAGTGTTGGAGTGGTTGGTACTTTTGTTTAATAAATGTATGAAAGAGGGGAAGGTACCTAGGGATTGGCGGAGAGCATGTATAGTCCCTTTATATAAAGGGAAGGGGGACAAAAGAGATTGTAAAAATTATAGAGGAATAAGTTTATTGAGTATACCAGGAAAAGTGTACGGTAGGATTATTATTGAAAGAATTAGAGGTAAGACAGAATGTAGGATTGCGGATGAGCAAGGAGGTTTCAGAGTGGGTAGGGGATGTGTAGATCAAGTATTTGCATTGAAGCATATATATTTATTTTTTTATTATCACACTGGCCGATTCCCACCAAGGCAGGGTGGCCCGAAGAAGAAAACCTTTCACCATCATTCACTTGAAGCATATATGTGAACAGTATTTAGATAAAGGTAGGGAAGTTTTTATTGCATTTATGGATTTAGAAAAGGCATATGATAGAGTGGATAGGGGAGCAATGTGGCAGATGTTGCAAGTATATGGAATACGTGGTAAATTACTAAATGCTGTAAAGAGTTTTTATGAGGGATAGTGAGGCTCAGGTTAGGGTGTGTAGAAGAGAGGGAGACTACTTCCCGGTAAAAGTAGATCTTAGACAGGGATGTGTAATGTCACCATGGTTGTTTAATATATTTATAGATGGGGTTGTAAAGGAAGTAAATGCTAGGGTGTTTGGGAGAGGGGTGGGATTAAATTATGGGGAATCAAATACAAAATGGGAATTGACACAGTTACTTTTTGCTGATGATACTGTGCTTATGGGAGATTCTAAAGAAAAATTGCAAAGGTTAATGGATGAGTTTGGGAGTGTGTGTAAAGGTAGAAAGTTGAAAGTGAACATAGAAAAGAGTAAGGTGATGAGGGTATCAAATGATTTAGATAAAGAAAAATTGGATATCAAATTGGGGAGGAGGAGTATGGAAGAAGTGAATGTTTTCAGTACTTGGGAGTTGACGTGTCGGCGGATGGATTTATGAAGGATGAGGCTAATCATAGAATTGATGAAGGAAAAAAGGTGAGTGGTGCATTGAGGTATATGTGGAGTCAAAAAACGTTGTCTATGGAGGCAAAGAAGGGAATGTATGAAAGTATAGTAGTACCAACACTCTTATATGGGTGTGAAGCTTGGGTTGTGAATGCAGCAGCGAGGAGGCGGTTGGAGGCAGTGGAGATGTCCTGTCTAAGGGCAATGTGTGGTGTAAATATTATGCAGAAAATTCGGAGTGTGGAAATTAGGAGAAGGTGTGGAATTAATAAAAGTATTAGTCAGAGGGCTGAAGAGGGGTTGTTGAGGTGGTTTGGTCATTTAGAGAGAATGGATCAAGTAGAATGACATGGAGAGCATTTAAATCTGTAGGAGAAGGAAGACTGGGTAGGGGTCGTCCTCGAAAAGGTTGGAAGGAAGGGGTAAAGGAGGTTTTGTGGGCGAGGGGCTTGGACTTCCAGCAGGCGTGCATGAGCGTGTTAGATAGGAGTGAATGGAGACGAAAGGTATTTGGTACCTGACGATCTGTTGGAGTGTGAGCAGGGTAATATTTAGTTAAGGGATTCAGGGAAACCGGTTATTTTCATATAGCCGGACTTGAGTCCTGGAAATGGGAAGTACAATGCCTGTACTCTAAAGGAGGGGTTTTGGGATATTGGCAGTTTGGAGGGATATGTTGTGTATCTTTATACGTATATGCTTCTAAACTGTTGTGTCCTGAGCACCTCTGCAAAAACAGTTATTATGTGTGAGTGAGGTGAAAGTGTTGAATGATGATGAAAGTATTTTCTTTTTGGGGATTTTTCTTTCTTTTCGGGTCACCCTGCCTCGGTGGGAGACGGCCGACTTGTTGAAAAAAAAAAAAACACATAAGTATAATTATCAGTGTACATATAAAATACTACACAATAACTTTAAAACCCTTGAAATTTTGGAAAATTTCCACACATAATGGAGATGTGCTCACGGAGAATGTAAACAAACCGGATGGGGTGTGGTAACCGTATCAGAAAGACAGGGGGAGGTGTATAGTGAGTTTTGGTCATATAGCAAATCTTTATATAATGGACCTCAATATAACAGGCTTTGAAAATTATGGGCAAAATGTGCTGGATAAATTTTATTTTTAACCCCTTTATTTTCATTGCTTATTGTAGTAAAGGTAAATTTACAGTTACTACAATATTATACCTAATGTAGCTCAGTATACAGTGCTATATTAGGTATAAAGTTAAGCATTTAAAGGCTTTACAGTCTCTCCTCACTTAGCAACGTACTCATTTACTGACAACGCAGAGTTACGACAGGCTCCCCAACCTATATGCAAACCTAAATATTGTATTAGAGCTGATTTTCTCTATTCTGGTTATTACAGTATACAGTACACTACTGTATAAACTTTTAAAAATATACCAGAAATGTTATAAATGGTGCAAAGGTATCATTAAAAAAATATCTAAAAATGGTTGACACAAACCCACTACCAGTATAGTATGCTCCTCTTTTCGCAATGAATTCATTTACAGACATGGTTCTAGGAACGGAACTCCTTCGTCAAGTGAGGAGAGACTGTAATTGCTATTTTTACCGGACATTTGAACACTTCCCTTTTGCAGGTTATATTGAGGGTTTATTCTATTTTAAATTCTTCTTTATTTTATCATTCACATTGTTGTGCATCCCTCAGAACATGAAGATGCTGTTGCCCTCGCTGATGCCGCCATTGTATTAGAAGATGGCCAGGAGAAAATATTTGTTGTGACTGTGACAGCAGACATTATAACTTGTTGGATTGTTTGCCCTTTATCAGGTAATTATGCTCTATACTTATGCAGTAGAATATTTGTGTGTGCATGTTGTGCTCATTTGTTCTCTTATTCGTTCATTTGTGTGTGCATGTGCATACATACGTTCATCCATATTTGCCTATTTTGGGCTGCAGGAGTCAAGTTTCAATTTCTCACTGAAGTTACCCCCTTTTAGCAATACGTATGTTTTAACATGTATAGAGCCTGCCCCACTTCTTCATCAAGGTCATTCCACTACCTGACCACCATGAGGCATTAGAAAAATAGAGGAAAATTCTGAAATTATAGATGTCATTTCCAGAGAAAACACTATAGTCTGGATTCACATTTGAATAAAGTAATAGTTAAATGATTATTACAGTAACATGTTGTTGAAAGAATGTAGCTTGATGGGAGCACACAGGTGTTGGAAGCAACAGCCTGAGAAGTCTTAGAATAGCACTCTTCGTTTTGTGTTCTCGGTACTAATGGAGACGATCTTTACAGGGAAGTTTAAACAGCTTAATTCATTTTCGTCTCCTGCAAGGACATTCATCATGAGCCTTCGGCTGTTCAGAGTTGAAGGAGCAATATATCCAGCATTGGCCTGTGGTGGACATGATTGTAGAATTCATATCCTAACAGCAAGTGAACTGGGTCAGTTTTATCCAGCAGGCGTGTTAAATGGTCATGAAGACTGGGTCATGACACTGGATTTCATGAAAGAAGGTATTTTCTTGAAAAAAAGTTATATCTTTGTGTTTTAAATCATTCACTTCATAATTGAATATATTTGAACTTTGAAACTTTCTTTCTTTTTATTTTTTTTATTAACACATCAGCCGTTTTCCACCAAGACAGGGTGACCCGAAAAAGAAGAAATACTTTCATCATCATTCACTCCATCACTGTCTTGCCAGAGGTGCACCTACACTACAGATAAAAAACTGTAATATCAACACCCCTCCTTCAGAGTGCAAGCACTGTACTTCCCACCTCCAGAACTCAAGTCTGGCTTGCCAGTTAACCTGAATCCCTTCATAAATGTTACTTTGCTCACACTCCAACAGCACGTCAGGTCATTAAAACCATTTGTCTTCACTCACTGTCTGATACACTCACACATGCCTGCTGTACGTCCAGGCCCCTTGCACACAAAATCTCTTTTACCCCCTCCCTCCACCCTTTCCTAGGACAACCCCTGCCCCTCATTCCCTCGACTACAGATTTATGCACCCTCTAAGTCATCCTATTTTGCTTCAGCCTCTCTAAATGATCAAACCACCTCAACAACCCCTCCTCAACCCTCTGAATAATACTTTTAGTAACTCCACACCTCCTAATTTCCACGCTACTAATTTTCTGCATAATATTTATATCACACATTGCCCTTAGATGTGACATCTCCACTGCCTCCAGCCTCCTTATCACTGTAACATTCACAACCCAAGCTAATTATTTGAAATAATATTTTAGCTTTTTTTTACTTAGTTTATTTGCTGACATTGCATGTACAGTAGTGATTACCATTAATTTAAAATTTTTGATACACATTGATTTTGGTTTCAAGCTTTTGGTATGTGTGTTTCAGATAATGGTGGCTTGCTGCTGGCCAGTGGCTCAAAGGATTCCTCAGTTCGAGTGTGGCGTTTTTCAGTCATCAAACATAATGAGCAGTTAGAAAAGGCTGTTAATGCAGGGAATAAGGAGTTGAGATTGAGGCCTGTAATTTTGAAAATACCATCAACTACATCAGATGTTATAATATCTGTGCTGCTAGATGCTATTTTAGCAGGTCACGAAGGACTGGTTTCTGAAGTATGCTGGGCTCAACCTGTTTTTAAAGGTAAAAGTAAAACAGAGTATTGGAAATAGATCCTTCATGTTTCCTGTTTCACAGAAGACAACTTTATTGGTACAAAGGTGTTAAATTGAACTTCCTGACTTTTAGTATGCATTTTTCTCCAATTAAGTTAGGAATAACATATTTGTCAGTAGGAATAGTAGCTAAGATAGTGTAGTTTGTATTTTGTGTATTTAAATAAAAAACCATTGTTGAAAGGTTTTCTAAAATGTTATATATAACACCTGTACTAATTCATTTACCCAGGTTTTAGTTTATCAACTTAAATAATAATAATTGCTGTATGACCCATCTGAGTTTATCATTTTTTGTGCATGAATTTATAATTATTTAATAATAATAGTTATAGTCTCCCCTTATACTTGGGATATTAGTTTTGCTACTACTTTGTTATATCCTTTTCTTTCTCTTTCAAATTATTTCTTGTTGTGTACTCGCTACTCCTCGGTACTGATGAACCTGAGAAGGTGATAGACTTCATGTCTGCAAAGCCTTTCTGTATATATTTAGTTTTCTCCCAGAAGCTCTAGTAATTTATGTTGAGATGAGATGTAAATTTAAAAGTTAGTAGTATCTTGAGTATGAAAGCTTGTGCTATATGTATAGTAATATACTTTTTTAGATTTATTTTTCATTTGTTATTTAAGCTAATTTGCTCTATAATTTGTTCATTCCTTTCTTTAGAAAGCAAGAGGCACCAGCCCTACAGGCTACTTACCTGCTCCAAGACCCAAGACCGTTCCATTATTATCTGGGAGCCAGAGAAAGGGTCCTTTAGTAGCGGTGGACTGTGGCTAGAGGTGGCTCGCCTTGGAGAAGTTGGAGGCAACATGGAAGGCTTTTACAGCTGTCAGTTTAGTCCTGACAACATGCAAGTTTTAGGCTGCAGCTACCAGGTAGGTTTGTGATTTTAAATTCAGTATTTGGCCCGGTGGCCTGGTGGCTAAAGCTCCCGCTTCACACACGGAGGGCCCGGGTTCGATTCCCGGCGGGTGGAAACATTCGACACGTTTCCTTACACCTGTTGTCCTGTTCACCTAGCAGCAAATAGGTACCTGGGTGTTAGTCGACTGGTGTGGGTCGCATCCTGGGGGACAAGATTAAGGACCCCAATGGAAATAAGTTAGACAGTCCTCGATGACGCACTGACTTTCTTGGGTTATCCTGGGTGGCTAACCCTCCGGGGTTAAAAATCCGAACGAAATCTTATCTTATCTTATCTTAGCCATTAAACTTTTAAACATAATATTTGCCTTTAAATTTGAGAAAAATAGTTGTTTCTACAATAATATGACTGTTGTTTGTAAAACTGATTCTCTTGTAGCACATGATCCATGACTGTTGCTCTTAGGAATTTCAATGTTGCAGATTTTATTTACATTATTAACCCAGAGGATAGGTAACCCAGAATAACAAAAAATCAGTGTGCCTTATTTCCATTGGGGTTCTGTTATTGTCTTGCCCAGACTGCAATCCACAACAGTTGGGTAACAGCCAGGTACCTGCTTACCACTAGGTGAAAAGGTGTAAAGAAGCATACTCAACAATTATACTTCTTCCATGTTCAAACTTGGTTCCTTCATTTGTAAACAACAGGAAATACTCTTTGTATATAACCATGTAATGCTTTTTAAAATGCATAGATACTGTTTGTGTTTTTAATTCAGTTATCTGGGATAATATTCACAATGTTAACCTTAGAATAAAGAAGTATCAGGGGTATAGCTGGCTAGCTCAAGCCTCTAAACTAGAGAGATTGTCAGGCTTCCTCTCCCCCAGGAAAAAATTCCCTGATACAGCCCCCTGGGACAAATCCTACCTTAGGGTAAAATCCCTGGGTCTAAAAAACCCTGAACAAAAATATCAGTAAAAGTGAAAAATTTGATAAAAAAAAAAATTTACTAGGTTAGGTAAGGTTGATGTATGCTTAGGTAAGGATAGGATAGGTTTGGCTTGCTTTACAGGTTAGGTTAGGTTAGGTTTGGCTTGCTTAGGTTAGGTTTGGCTTGCTTGGGTTAGGTTTGCTTAGTTTAGTGTTCTATTTTTGCCTTGAGGGAAAGTTTAGAACGGATACAGGATAATGTTAACTTTGGAATGTGGATGAATGGAATTGACAAGTACAGTCATTGAAAATAATAATAGCTTAGGTAGCTTTAAAAATGAATTGGACAAATATTTGAGTGAAATTAGCAGTTTATGAAAAGGACCTATCTAACATGGGCCAGTAGACCTGTTGCAGTGCTTCTTCAGTCTTATTGTCTTATGACTGGAGAACAAGTATGCTTTTATGAAGCCATTACCATTTAACCCCTTCACTGTCAGAAGCCCTGAAATTAAAAGTGCTGACAATGTCGGCATTTTTTGAAAAAAAAAAAATTCTTCAATTGCAGAGAATCTTTTTCTGAAGGTAATGATGGAAAACTTATGGAATTATGCAAATACAGATTTAAATGGCAGTCTGGGCATAATTTACCAAATGGCAATTTCACCCCTTTCCTTTAAGGCTTATTTTGTGCCAGTTCCAATGCTCAATTCGACCAAATTTTTAGCCATTTTGCTAGTACATCTTCCACTCTATAAATTTCACACAAGAAACTGCCCATTCAGCTAACAGTACTACCCTCTTAAAGTCCACAAAATTCGATAATTTGGACAACTTGACTCAAAATTTAAAAATTACAATTTAAAAACCAAGTTCAAAATGAATACCGTAGACTTTTCAGCCTCTAAAGCAACATTTCTTCTGTTCATTAATCGTTATCCTCAAGCTTCTCCTACACCCCTGCCCACCATTTTTAATTCATCATCACTCACAAAATTTATGGTGTACCCTATTTCTCAGATAATAAAATATAACCATGAATGATTGGTCGTGGTTTAGGGTGTCCCAGTAATTGAAGCAAGCCTAGTACAAACCCACAAAACAAACCAGGAGGGTAGGGAGCCTTACCAGTCCTCAGAAAAATCATCAGAAATCAAATACCTCTGCTAGTCTGAGCAGATGTATGTCTTCCATTCTCTCAAATGATACCAGAAACAGTCAGTAAAACCTTAAAAATAATGCTAGAAAACACGTCAAATTCTCTATTTTAAACCTAACACAAGGTCAGAAGTTTGCCTTTCCCATTATGCATCACCATGGGGTAATTTTTTTTATAAAGAATAAAGATTTTATTTCTTTGCAAAGGTTACAATTTGTAATTACAATTTTGGTTTGTTAAGTACAAAGAAAGCCACTATCATGCCAATCACACTCACTGCACAGACCCGTTCTTTCATGTCCAGGCCAAAAATTACTGCTCAAAACTTATCTGAGTGAGTTGAGCTCAAAATGTAGATCTGTGTGAACAATGCTGGCATCAGTAACATAGATCTATATGAGCAACAATGACATCAGTAACAGATCTGTGTAAAAGACAGTGAAAAGGTTCATTTTACCGTGGCTTCTGCAGTTTATTAAATCCTTGTTTTGTGAGTGAATTCAGGTCATTCTCTGATACAGAAAATATCTTCCAACATTTTTATATACAGTATTCAGTGAAAAATCTGTTACACAATTTTGTACATTTTTAGAGCAACCTCTCATCTTTAACTGTTTTGAATCTGTAATTTTCTTGCATATTACTCTACCATAAATGGGCTAGTAACCCTTTCTCCAGTACACATTACTAAAGTTAAAAAGAGAAACTTGTTTTTCTTTTTGGACCACCCTGCTTCAGTGGGATGCAGCCGGTTTTTTGAAAGAAGATCACTCTGCTATATCTTTTCTTTCCCACTTTTAACAAATCACTTTCTGCACAATTCTTTCACCTTGCCACAGTATCTTGAACAGTCACTGCCTCCTTCAAAATTTTTTATTCATTTTATGCATTCAGAGAAGTCGTGCATGTTACTGGGAAACACTGTTGTTTATTTCTGTGCCATCCAGTATACAGTATTGGTAGAAAGGATCTTTGATTTGCTAGGCTTTCTTCTTGTGGCAGCTTTTATTTATTTTTTCTGTCAATGTCTTTGTAGATTTTTTCCTCCAAATTATCTCTTTAACAGTCACAAATCATCCAATTAACATAACGCTAAATGAATCATCAGTCACAAGACTTTCAGAGGGAAAATTCCTAGGTATCCACCTTGACAGTAGCCTTAAGTTCAAGACACACATACAACAAATCACCAAGGAAATCTCTAAGACTGTAGGTATACTATCAAAGATAAGGTACTACATTCCACAATCAGCTCTCCTGGCACTGTATCATTCACTCATATACCCTTACCTCACATATGGAATTTATGCATTGGGATCAACAACATTCAGTCGCCTAAGACCTCTAATAACTCAGCAAAAGGCAGTAGTCAGAATGATAACAAATTCCCACTACCACCAGCATACTCTACCAATTTTCAAAAGTCTGAATCTGCTCCAAAAGTAGATCTACGTTTTTTTACATATTTTCAAATATAACAAAAAAAAAAGTAGATCAAAGTTTTTTACACGTTTTCAAATGTAAAAAAAAAAAAAAATCTACTTTTTTTTACATACTTTCAATTGTTGAAAAAACGTAGATCTATATTTGGACAGTTTAAGGGTTAAGAACATCCATACTTATTCATGTGCCTACTACACACACAGAACAATACATGCAAATATAAACCCTCCACTTAAACTTCTCACCAACCTTAGCAGGACACATAACCATAACACAAGACACAGATCTCTTTTTGATATACCTCGTGTCCATATCACACTTTGTAAAAACTCTATACACATAAAGGGCCCCAAAATTTGGAATTCATTACCAGAAGATACTAAAGTAACCCGGTCTGAAAATCAATTTAAGACTCTTCTCAAAAGCCACTTAATCACCCTAGACTAAATGCTAAATACTCAGTGCACACATACTCACTTATGTATTCCCATATCATAATTTCATTGTTGACAGGAATATAACTGAATCATTGTTTTCACAAAAAGCATTTTTTGAATATATGAATATATCTTTTGTCTTATATAAATTAGATTCACTTATAATTAATAATCTACTGTACAACTATGATATAATTAATATTCTACTGTGCAACTATGACATAATTCTTAGTGTTAAGTAGTCTGTAAGCCAATAATGTTAAGTCGGCCCATAATGCCTAAGCATAATAGAGGTTCTCTTTGCATTGCAACCAATTATTGTAAATACAAAATCTCAATGTACTATTTACAAAGACAAATAAATAATAATAATAAATAAAAAATAAATATTAAAAAATTGCTCTTATATAGGCCTTCTGCAAGAAATAATTTTTTTATCAATAACTTGTAATAAATTTCCTGTCACTGAGTTATCTCCTCTGGGTGTGATAGGAACTTAACATCAGTGTCTTTAACATGTGTCTTAAACCCTGTAATGTTCCAGCTATAAAATATTGGAGAGGTTTTCTTTATGTTCTTCTAGCATGTAATAAGTTGTCCCCTTTCTAATTCCTTTTTACTCCTGTGACTTTTGCCTTTTTTTTTTTAATTTTTTTTTAAAGTGAGTCTAAACAGTCATTATTCCAACTTGTGAACAATTTGGAATGAACGAATTCATTACCTGTGAATATAAAAGAAATACTGTCTGTTTATCAATTCAAGACTCTTCTTAAAAATCACTTACTCAACCACAGCTTAATAAATACTGAATAACTGAATCTCATAAATGTATAACATGTGACCCTATCAAACTATTTTTTTTTAATTACATTACCTAATAGAATACTCCATTCTCTTGAATGCACAGTAACTCATCTAATGACCATATGACCTGTTTCTGCACTACAAACATTGATTTTATTTGATCTGATTCGATTATATTATACATTGTTATGCTACAAATTTGTACTTATTTGAAATACATGTACTTATTTGTACTCCATGTTGTAATTTGTTTACTGTAATTTTTACCAATGAATATATCATTGCTTAGTTAATCTGAAGTTAATTTTAAGCCTGCCAATAATGTTCTGCATACAAGGGACTTTTGGCATGTACACCCAATCACTATATTTCTTTGTACAACTATGTATCAAGTCCAAGTAAAAAAAAAAAAACATTTCCTAAGCCTAGATTGGGTTCTGGAATTCTTTCAGATGTGGGTCCATAATGGGGCCTTGAAATGCAATATGTCTCCACTGCAAATCCTTATTCAAATTAAACTGGCACTAAACATTGCAGTATCATTGAGCCTCTCTTGCTTTATTCTTTTTAGTGATGCTAATCATTTCAGTTTCATTTTTTCTTAATTATAGTTCACTTTCTTTGCTCTTTTCACTTGCCTCTTTCATGCATGAATAATATACTGACTTTTTTTTTGTAAGTAAATCTTCATGCTTTCATCTTGGTTGTGCTATCTCATGGTGGGCATCATTGAGACTGCAGTGTTTTACGAAGATATACCTGAGCACCAGATTACTGATGAATGTATGCTAATGATGTTATTCTTAAGAAACTACTTCAAGGAAGGAGATATATATATACATATAGTAAGTAAAGGTAGTCAGCAAATTATTTTCATTATTTGCCTAATTGAATCTATAATGATGTACAGGAGGTCATAACTTATAAACAAATTGTGTTCTTGATATTCTAACTTACACATGAGGTGTTTGTATAATAACAGCAGTAAAAAGTGTGGTCACATTTTGTGTGTGCTCATTCCACTGCTTGGTGGTTATGAAGCTTTAACTGATTCTCAAGTACCTAATTTGTATGTGCTTAATTTGGTATGTTTGTATGTTGGGGGCTGTATGGCTTTATCATTTGTTTTTGAATGCTGTGTAATCAAAATAATCTGAGCAGGGTGCACTCCACCTGTGGAAGCAAAAGAACCATGTGAGTCACATGTGGCAACCATGTCCGGTGATTGGTGGACACTTTGATGAAGTCGCTGACATTACTTGGGATCCCCTGGGCAGGTTAGTCGATTAAATGTTATTTGGTTTTGTTTGATGTATGGATATATTACTAGATATATTACTGCATTACTGTGGCTTTCAGTTATCTCTGTCATGCTGATTTTAATGAAAGTCTTATGCATGCAGTCTCCCTCGAATTTTATTATGGCTAATCATGGCCACGTTATGTTGAAGATTCGGATGTATCTTTTAAAAACAACTGTCACTGTATAGTAGAAAAAGTTATCTCATGTACCCACATTGCTGTTTACATTAGCATTATTATTTAGCAGTCTAAGTTTTTAAATGAATACAGTTACTCTGGTATAATTCTAGAAGTGTACAGGATGTACTGTAGCTACCACAGAAAAAACACCTGGAAATGGAAGTGAAGGAAGATATTAAGGTGAATGATCATCAATAAATGCAAGAACAAATTTGTACAGAATAAAGAGGTTGAAGACTTTTATGCAGTCTAATGATGTAAGGTTGTGCTAGCTTTTTTATTATTTATTTTTAACTTCATCAGGCCTTTCCCATCAACGTGATAGGAATGGTGTTAACATTGAATTTTACAAGTAAAGAGACATAACAGAGAGTGATTGGGGATGGGCAAATGTATTGATGCTGCTTACTAAAAAATTGTATTACATACTTGTTTGAATTTTGAATGTAATCTGCAGGCTGGGCATCAAGTAGTTCACGAAGTTATATTTCTTGAAATATCTCGTCTCACTACTGTAGTAATTGCATTAAAATTAATATTATTCTTAATATTATTATTTAGATAATCTTAAAAAAAAAAAATGCAGTGGAACTTCAGTTGTTGAACAGACTAGTTGTCGAACAAATTGGTTTTCAAACCGATTTGTTTGATTTGGTTTTCGTACGTGGTCTTGGTTGTCGACCAACAACACTCGGAGGGATTTCTTCCCCAACAGGTGCTTAATTGTGATGATACAGGCCTGTTCTGGAAGAAAATGCCCAAGAGAATCTATATCTGAAGAGGAAAAGTTAGTGCCAGGACACAAGCCAATGAAAGACAGGCTCACTCTGTTACTGTGTGGTAATGCAAATGGGGATTTGAAACTGAAGCCCTTACTTGTTTATCATTCCAAAAATTCATGATTTTTAAGAAGAACAATATTATGAAAAGCAAATTGGCTGTAATGTGGAGGGCCAACACAAAAGCTTGGGTAACAAGACAATTTTTTATTGAGTGGGTTCATGAAGTCTTTGCTTCCACTGTCAAAAACTACCTCATTAAAAAACAACTGCCATTCAGGGCCCTTTTACTTATGGATAATGCTTCTGCTCACCCTTTAATCTTGGCAAATGAGTTGCTGGAGGAGTTCAGTTTTATAACTGTGAAGTTCTTGCCTCCTAACACCACTTCTCTCATCCAGCCCATGGACCAGCAAGTCTATGACGCTACAACCCATGGGACCATATAATCCTACAAGAATCACGCACCTAGCAGAGCTGGGTGTTGTACCGTGATCCGAGGACATACGTTGGTGTGGGTACTTCAGAGCTAATTTCATCCTCCCCCCCATTTGGTGTACTAGCCTCCACGAGCAGCATACATATATGGTATTGTAACCACGAACAAGTGGTATTTAATCAATAACGGCTAGTCACAGTGTTGAAGATTTGTCTTTGAGAAAAATGTCTTAACATATGCAAGTCGTCAGATAACTTTAGTTCCGTCTCACGTCAAATTACTGGGACAACTGGGATTTTCCTATCACTGTTTAAAACATTGGAGAAAGTCTGTTGTTTAATAAAACAGCATCTACATATACAGATTTAGAGGAGTCTTTATTTGTGATTCCATGTTAGTCAATACTACATATACATATATATAATGTTTATTGTTCTTTTAGTCTTAAGTTAGGTTAGAGCTTACCCAAAATGCTCTGCACAACCAGGAACTTTCCATGTGAAATGATAAATGTTATTTATTTTTGTACAAATGATGTATTATGTAGAAATGAGGAATTTGAATAAGAGAGAAATCAGTGTACTGTATACAATATATTTATCTCAATTACATCATAGTTATTTTTTTAGGTACCTGTTGTCATCCAGTAAGGACCAAACGACTCGTCTTCATGCACCATGGAAGAAGACAGAAAATGAGGTTAGTAGCTATCTTACATCATGCTCATATCATCAGTAATAAACATATATTGCAAAGCAAGAATTTATTTGGACAGCATTTTGCTGTATGTAGAACTTTATCAAATAATGACTTGATAAAGTTCTACACAAAGCTCGATCACTAGCACACTCAGCTCACACACTGAGGTCTGGGGTTCAACTACTGGTACAGGTGGAACATTAGGTTGTGTTTCCTTAAGACACCTGCTGTCTACATTCACCTATCAGTAAAATAGGTACCTGGGTGTTAGTCATCTTGTGTGAGTCACATCCTGGGGACAAGATTAACCTAATTTTGCCTGAAATGCTCTGCATAACAAGGGGCTTTCTGAATAGCAGTATGTCATTGATGTCAGCTAGGCCTGTATAACTTGTGCATGTACAGTGGAACCTCAGTTTTCATATGCCTTAGTTTGTATGTAAAATTATATTTATTTTCTGTAAAATGTATTTTTTGTTAATATTTTTGGGTGTCTGGAATGGATTAATTGGATTTACATTATTTCTTTTGGGAAATATTAACAAAAAATGCATTTTATAGAGAATAACTATAGTTTTACATACAAACTAGGGCATACAAAAACCAAGGTTCCACTGTACTTGTAGCAATATTTATTTATTTGTTTATTATATATTTATTTATAGGTTCTCCTAAAAAATGTTTGCTCTGCGGTGTGCATCTTTCCTTCACTGCTGTCAGTAAGGATTAAGGATTTTATTTCTTTGCATAGTTTACAATGTGTAATTACAATATTGATTACTAAGTACAAAGAAAGCCACTATCATGCCGGGGCATTTTGGGCAGATTAAACTTAATGCTTAACAGACTACTTAATCTTTCTTTCTTTCTTTCAACACACCGGCCGTATCCCACCGAGGCGGGGTGGCCCAAAAGGAAAAACGAAAGTTTCTCCTTTTACATTTAGTAAAGACTACTTAATACTAGACATATACAGTGGACCCCCGCTTAACGATCACCTCCAAATGCGACCAATTATGTAAGTGTATTTATGTAAGTGCGTTTGTACGTGTATGTTTGGGGTTCTGAAATGGACTAATCTACTTCACAATATTCCTTATGGGAACAAATTCGGTCAGTACTGGCACCTGAACATACTTCTGGAATGAAAAAATACCGTTAACCGGGGGTCCACTGTATATCATAGTTGGTTCGAATTGAACATTTTTTTTATATATTACAACAGAGGTAGTAGTGGTTTAGCAGTAATTAAATTAACAAGTAATTGATTAACAAGTTACAGTATTATATTTTGGCACATTTTACATAATGAGATTAAGACATTTTAGTTTTGAAATAATCTTATACAATTTGGAAATTTTTGTGTTGATGGTGGTAATAATGTATAGTGTTTGTGTTGTTAATTTTGGGAGATAGGTGATATCTAAGCAGAGCCTTGAATTGGTGTGCAGGGACGGACCCTTTTATATGTTCAGGCAATGAATTCCAAATCTTAGGGCCTTTTATATGCATAGCATTTTTACATAGGGAGAGAGGAGATGAGGGATATCAAAGAGTGTTTTGTGTCTTGTGTTATGCAAGTGCATTCTGTTGTAGTTCTCAAGAAGGTGTTTGAGAGGAGGGTTAATATTGGAGAATAATGTTCTATGTATGTAGTATGCACAATAACATGAGTGGATATTTTGTATGTTAAGCAGGTTCAAGCTCTTAAATAGCAGTGGGGTGTGTTGTCTGGCACAGGAGTTTATAATCATTCTCACAGCAGTTTACTAGATTGGGGGATTGTCCAAGTTCCCATTAAATTAGAATGTTTAAAAGTAGCAAAAAAAAAAAAGAGCACCTAGGTACTCTGCTGCATACCTAAAATAGTGCTGTTCACCACAATATTCACAGTTATATTGGAATAAACAGTGAAATTAAAAGAGTTAAAATTGTAATTTACACAGCAGATTTTGGCTGTTATTTTAAAAGTCTATTTTATTGGGGTCCACTATATCAAGGGTTACTGTACACTCTTTCAGTCTCTTAAGATTTTTTTTTTTTTTATCTTGCCCCCCACACAGGAAATTTAATTTCAGGGTATGCCACTGTTGAAGAGGTAAACAAAAATGCTGAATTCTCTAGTTATAGTTACAATTTGGTATAGATTTATATTGAAAGCTAACCTCATCAGTTGCTAAATTTAGTTTGGATTACAGTATTTTATTACTGTTCAAAACTTTGAGGTATAGTACATAAGAACATGAGAAAGAAGGAACACTGTAACGGGCCTACTGGCCTATGCGAGGCAGCTCCATTTCTCCTATCGGCTTAAGCCAATGCCTTGACCTAGTGAGGTCAGACACATCGCTTAAGGGAGGAGCAGTGCATCCGACCGAGTAGCACAAGCTAGTCAAGTCCAACTCGCACCCACCCACACGCACTCATGTATTTATTCAACCTGTTTTTATAACTACACATTGTCTTAGCGTCTATGACGGTACTCGGGAGTTTGTTCCACTCATCCACAACTCTATTACCAAACCAGTGTTATCCTGTATCCTTCCTGAATCTGAATTTTTCCAATTTAAAACCATTGCTGCAAGTCCTGTCTATGTTAGATACTTTTAGCATGCTATTTACATCCCCTTTATTAATTCCTGTTTTCCATTTATACACAATTTTTTTTTTTTTTTTTTTAACAAGTTGGCCGTCTCCCACCAAGGCAGGGTGATCCAAAAAGAGGGAAAATCCCCGAAAACAAAATACTTTCATCATCATTCAACACTTTCACCTCACTCACACATAATTACTGTTTTTGCAGAGGTGCTCAGAATACAACAGTTTAGAAGTATATACGTATAAAGATACACAACATATCCCTCCAAACTGCCAATATCCTAAACTCCTCCTTTAAAGTGCAGACATTGTACTTCACATTTCCAGGACTCAAGTCTGGCTATATAAAATAACTGGTTTCCATGAATCCCTTCACTAAATATTACCCTGCTCACACTCCAACAGCTTGTCAGGTCCCAAATACCATTCGTCTTCATTCACTCCTATCTAACACCTCAATCATATCCCCCCTAATTCTATGCCTTTCTAGAGAGTGCAGATTCAGGGCCCTCAGTCTATCCTCATAAGGAAGATTTCTGATACATGGGATCAACTTTGTCATCTTCCTGTGTACGTTTTCCAGTGCATTTATATCCATTCTGTAATACGGTGACCAAAACTGTGCAGCATAATCTAAATGAGGTCTAGCCGAAGATATATAGAGTTGAAGAACATCCTGAGGACTTCTATTATTTATAATTCTTGCTATGAAGCCAAGGATTTTGTAAGCTTTATTGCGAACACTAATGCACTGTTGTCTTGGTTTCAGATTACTACTAACCAGAACTCCTAAATCCTTTTCACAATTCGTAATATTAAGATCTACATTATTTAGTTTATATGTGGCATGGTTATTTTCCTGTCCAACTTTGCATTTGTCTATATTAAACTGCATCTGCCACTTCTCCGACCATTGTATCAGTCTATTCAAATCATTCTGGAGTGCTCTGATGTCCTCATTAGAATGAATTGGATGGCCTATTTTGGTGTCATCAGCAAATTTGCTTATGTCGCTATTTATTCCCTCATCTATGTCGTTTATGTAAATTGTGAACAACAACGAGCCCAACACTGACCCCTGAGGAACACCGCTTGTGACGTGCCCCCATTCTGATTTCTCCCCATTTATGCAAACTCTCTGCTGCCTATTTGTCAGCCATGCCTCTACCCAGGAAAAAATTTCTCCTCCTATTCCGTGTGCCATAAGTTTCCTCAATAGCCTCTGATGTGGAAATCTATCGAAAGCCTTACTGAAGTCCATATACACAATATCATATTCAATACCATGATCTACCTCCTCAAATACCTTAGTGAAGAAAGTTAGTAAATTCGTAAGACAGGAACGCCCCTTTGTAAAACTGTGCTGAGATTCATTAATCAGTTTATGCCTTTCGAGATGGCTACAAATTGCTTCGGCAATTATTGATTCCATAAATTTTCCCACTGTGGAGGTAAGGCTTATTGGTATATAGTTCGAAGCTAAGGACCTGTCACCTGCCTTGTAAATAGGTATTACATTTGCCATTTTCCACTTGTCAGGCACTATGCCAGTTTGTAGTGATATGTTGAAAATATTAGCCAAAGGTATGCTAAGTTCCTCTTTACATTCCTTTAACACCCTTGCAAACAGTTCATCAGGGCCTGGGGATTTGTTAGCTTTTAATTTCTCTATTTGTCTGAGGACCATGTCACTAGTTACCGCAATCGTTCATAGTTTATTATCGTCCTGTTCTACAGAATCTGTTATTTCTGGAATTTTGCTAGTATCTTCCTGAGTAAAAACTGAGAGGAAGTAAGAATTGAAAATTTCACACATATCCTTATCACTGTCAGTGATCTGACCTGAGTTACTCTTAAGTGGGCCTATCTTGTCCCTAATCTTCTGTATAACTGAAAGAACCCTTTTGGGTTAGTCTTCGAATCCCTTGTGACCTTAGCCTCATAATCCCTTTTTGCTTTTCTTATTCCTTTTTTTATTTCTCTTTCTAATTGAATATATTGATTTCTTAACTGCCCAACCCCTCTTTTGATATGCCTATATATGCCTCTGTTTTGACCAGTGAGATGTTTTAATCTATTGTTCATCCATTTGGGATCATTTTTGTTAGATCTAATTTCTCTACTCGGAACAAAAGTTGTCTGGGCAGCAAGAACTATGCTCTGAAAAACATCATATTGGCAACCAAGACCACCTACCTGACCCATAGTCAGGACATCCTAATTTAGCCCACCTAGATAATTTTTCCGTCCCATGAAATCGGCCAAGCGAAAGTCTGGGACAGAGATTTGATTACAGTTATCTAGGTAACTCCATGATATATTGAAACTAAGTGATTTGTGATCACTTTCCCCAAGCTCATCATTAACCTCAAGATTATTCTTTGTTGGCAAGAACCAAGTCAAGTAGATTGTTTCCTGTAGTTGGTTCTGTACAGGGGAACATTGACTTACGAGTGTCCCAACGTACGAGTTTTTTGAGATACGAGCCGTCCCTGGGTCGATTGTTTGCTCTGAGTTATGTGCCAACATTTGAGTTACGAGCCAGCTCCCCCTGCTTTCCCCCTCAACCCAAAACCTGGACACCTTGCTTGTTTATCTTTGATTTCATACTTTAATTCCATGGAAATCATCCTCTTTTTCTTCTTAGCACTGTCGTTTACACTTACTTTCTTAGGACCCATGCTTAGAAAAATGAAATTTGGCCAAATGACTGTCAAAAAATGTAAGCAAAGCATGAGAGAACTGCTCCCACAGCAAGGTAAACAGTGCACTGAATTGGCGGCATTTTTATATTTAATAATACTAATAATTATATTTTTAGTATATGTTAATTTAGGTACTGGAGCACGATCCATTATCTAAATTTAATTAAACATATTTTCACAATTTGTGCTTGTTATTTTTTTTAATATAGATTTCATTCCTTAATTCAAAATAATATTTTATAAAAGGACAAGTGTAACTATTGACATTTATTGGCAACTTTCATCTCAGGAATTTAAATCAATGCTCCTGAGAGATGAAACGATTGCACTAAATTCAAGAGTAAAGTCACTGATTGCGCATTTTACTTTTTACTATTAATATTTCAGGTAATTTATCTAATTTATTACAATAATAAGATCAATTACTAAATTAATATAGATTAATTCTAAATCAATATTAATTATGATTTTATTATTATTTAATTAACTTATTCCTACAGATTTAATAATATTTTAGCACTCCAGGAAGTATGTTTCAGTGCCAGTATGACGAATTTGTTCCCATGAATAATGTGAAGTAGTTGACTTCAGGCCCTTACTTTACAATTACGAAACCCACTTACATAAATACATTACATAATTAGTTGCATTCGGAGATAATCGTATATGGGGGGTCCACTTACTATTGATAAGACTTAGTTCTTAATTAATAATATATTAATAACTTATTCGATATTATAATAATAATTCAAATGCTGCTTGCTAGTTGGCAACAGACTGCTGCTGGCAATAGCAAACATACTAAGGTAAGTAGTGCACATGTTTACATCACTGTGGGAGCATTTCCTTCGTGCTTGCTTGCTTTTTTTTTTTTACAGTCATTTGGCCAAATTTCTTTTTTCTAACCATGGGTCTTAAGAAAATAAGTGCAAAGGACAGTGCAGAGAAGAAAAAGACGATGATTTCCATGGACTTAGCCAGGCAATACCAACTTAGTACAGCTACGATATGTAGATACTAAAGTTGTATCAGTTATGTTCAGTGATTAAAGAAAACAAATTGTATCAGTTATGTTCAGTGATTAAAAAAAAAAAAAAAAATTGTATCAGTTAAGTTCAACGCTCAAACAAAACAATGTTGTTGGAGGTTTACAGGGCCACTGACATCATGCGCCGCAGCCTCAACCTCCCCCACCATTTCTGCTCCAAGTATGTAGGTACATATACACTTTATATCAACAGTTTATTATTTCTTTACATTCTGTAGTGTATTATGATTTATTATGTGTTTATATATGATATTTTCAGCGTTTTCCTTAGAAAATTAGTGATCTTCTGCAGTTAGCCCCAAAAATACACCTACCATCCGACTTACGACCTGCTCGACTTACGACCACTCGACTTACAACTGTGTGTTTTATGCCAAATTTCTGGTAAATAAACAACTATTTGTGTTGTACAGTGTTTATCCTAAACCTTACAGTATAAAATACAGTACTAACAACATAAAAGTAAAGTAAAACATGAAATACCAAAATAAAATAATAAAATAAAGTCATTACAAAAATGTTTTGTTGATATTCAGTAGTAAAGTTCGACTTACGACCATTTCGACTTACGACCGGTTTCTCGGAACCGAACTCGGTAGGTGTACTCTGTTTTCTCTTACAATAAGAGCATGGGAAGATAGTACGTATATAGTCAAAGGTGGACAGGAAATGGCAAACGCTTCCGCCGCTGCCTCTGCCACCATATTATGGCCTATTTTATTCATTCTAGAGTATATATCAAGTTTCTGTGTTAATTATATTGTTTATTATGTCATATTAGATGAATTGTGATAGATAAATAACCCGTACAGTTGATAATATTCGAGTATTTTTTCTCGTCTCTCCAGAGTGCAGGAACGGATTAATGGCTTCTCAGTGTAATTTAAATGAGGTAAATTAATTTTGATATTCAAGTAAATATGGTGTTACGACTAGGTCCTGAATGGATTCAACTACAAGTTCAAGGTTCCCCATGGAAATAAGTTAGACATACTGATATGCATGACTTTCCTAAGTTATTTTAACCTGGTGGTAACCTCCGGGGTTAAAAATCCGAAACGAAATTTTATCTTATCTTATCTTACAGTTGATAATATTCGAGTATTTTTTCTCGTCTCTCCAGAGTGCAGGAACGGATTAATGGCTTCTCAGTTAATTTAAATGAGGAAAATTAATTTGATATTCAAGTAAATTGAGTTACGAGCTAGCTCCTGGAATGGATTAAACTCACAAGTCAAGGTTCCACTGTATTATATAAGTTAGTAACTTTATATTGCATAGTGTGGCACAAAATATATATTATTACAGCCTATGTATACTATAAAATAGACAATATACTCTGATTTAAAAATGTTATTTTTGCTGTGTATTTTCCTACAGATAGTTTGGCATGAAGTGAGCCGCCCACAGGTTCATGGCTACGATATGGCTAGTGTCTGCAACCTTGGCAAATACAAATTTGCATCTGGAGCGGAGGAGAAGGTTATACGTGGATTCAGTGCTCCCACCAACTTTATACGTAATTTTGGCCAGATCTGCGGTTTCGACGTTGAGGAAGATTTAGGTACAAAAACCAACTTCGATGTTTAACTTGATTTGTTTTTTCTGTTTCATCATGGTCACATTGAATAATACCAATTATCTGCTCTGCTGTGACCAAAATGAAATTGGAGGGCTGGCTTGACTTGTTACTATGCCATACCACCTCATTGCACAGAACACGACTTACCTAAAATGCAATGTACAGGTACTCTTCACCTAACAATCGAGTTAGGTTCCTAAGAGTAGGTCGGTAAGCAAATTGGTTATTAAATTTGAGCAGCTCCTTACTGATATTTCAAGCATACTATACTGGTAGTGGGTTTGTGTCAGCCATCTTTAGATATTGTTTTAATGTCACCTTTGCACCATTTTTAGTACGCTAAAAATAGAACTAGGTACGTATTAAAAACAATAAACTTAAATACACATACAGTATACTCATTACTTTCCTTAATATATTTGTAGTCCTAGTGTAGGGTGGAGGTGAGTACTTATTGTAGAAAGAGGAAGAAGAAGAGCAAAGAATGGAAGAAATACAAAAGAAGTTCACTGTAAAGGAGTTAGTGATGCATCTCAGCATCAAGCAATTTCCAAGACTACGTATTTCGTCTATAAATTTGTGCTTTATTGTACACCCCATAGTATAAGATAGGATTAGAAGTGCAGCAGCACTTGGAAAAGGGAAAACAAGAGGAAATAGAAGAACAAAAGAAGTTCACCGTAAAAGGATTAGCTGGTGTGTTCGTTCATGTTTGCATTCTCAGCATATCTTGGCGTCTCTCGTGGCATCTAAGAAATGATTACACTCAGTGAACAAGGTATGTTGATGGTAATAATAATCATAATAATAATAATTGCTCTGGAGCACTTTAAATGTCATATATTTTATGTAGGTTAAGTAGCTGGCCCAGCTACCAAACCTGCACAAGCTGTAGTCTTCAGTTAGGCTTAAGCTTGCCCAAAATGCTCTGCATAACCATGGGCTTTCTGCATGCACAACTAAATGTCACCTATCTCTGCAAATGTTGTATCATTGTATTATTAGTATTTATTATTGTAATTATTATTATAACTGTGCATTACGATACAGTTTTTATACAATAGTACATTACATGGTGATGCTTCTGATATTGTATTACTGATAGTTATCACCTCAGTAGTTTTGATTGAATTTCTTTTCAGCCTCTCCTCACTTAACGACAAAGTTCTGTTCCTAAGGCAACATTGGTAAACGAGTTCATCGCTAAGTGAGGAGCGTACTATAATGGTAGTTGATTTATGTCAACTATCTTTGATATTGTTTTAATGTCACCTTTGCACCATTTATAACATTTCTGGTATATTTGAAATGTTGATACAGTAGTGTTCTGTATATTGTAATAAACAGAATAGAGGAAATCAGCTCTAATATACATTATTTAGGCATGCATACTGGTCAGAGAGCTCATCGTAAGTCCAAGGCATCGGTAAATGAGTACGTTGCTAAGTGAAGAGAGGCTGTATTATACTTGTGCCTATCTACATAAACATTAAGATAAACATCTTTAGCTATTGATTAACACCTTGTAGTACTCACAGCAATAGGTAATCACCAGAGGAAAATAAACTGTGATAATCTCTGGATTAAAATATATATCAAAAATTTTCATTTCGGCAGGCAAATAATTTATTTGTAGCAGTTTAAATTTTGTTGTTGTTGTTTATTGAAAAATGTTTAGTCTTTTTTGATATGTTAGTCTGTGTGGTCTTTTAATACATTTTCTTACCTAGTCATTAATAAGGGCAACATGGTAACTATTCATTTGTCCAACCATTGTTCAGATGAACACAAGGTTATTACTAAAAACCAGAAAATGATTAATTTTTATTCCACATAAATAAATGTCAGAAAATCTAACATCCACTGTACAGTCAGCCATCCAGATTCACAGGACTCTTAATTTGTGGAATTTGACTCTGACATTTCTACTGATGGGGAACTCACAAATAATTTTGAACGTTTCCAACTCTACATGGTGCCCATTTTGGGGGGACTTTGTGCTTGAATTAAAATTTAAAATTGCCATAGCCAGTTCACTATTGGATTTTATTCATATTGCACTCAGTGACTTTCTTCTGAGCAGATCTCTCTTCTTTGTGATCATTCTTTTTTTTCTAAATGTCACTGTTAACTTCTTCTTTCAACAAACCTGCTGTATCCCACCGAGGCAGGGTGGCCCAAGAGGAAGAACAAAAGTTTCTCCTTTTAAATTTAGTAATATATACAAGGGAAGGGGTTACTAGCTCCTTCCTACTGACATTTTAGTCGCTTCTTATGACACGCATGGCTTACAGAGGAAGAATTCTATTCCACTTACCCATGGAAATAAACAATAACTAGTAAGAAAATAGAAGAAAACCCAGAGGGGTATGTATGTATGTATGTTATATGCTTTTGCTTGTACATGTATGCGTAGTGTGACCTAAGTGTAAGTAGAAGTAGCAAGACGTATCTGAAATGTTAATAATAATAATAATAATAATAATAATAATAATAGTAATAATAATAATAATAATAGTAATAATAATAATAATAAAATAATAATAATTTTATTTTAGCATGATACATGTTTGTACAAAGAAGTGTAAATGTTGGGTAAACATGCCAAAGGCTCCTTTATTTGCAGAGCATTTCAGGCAAACTTAACACTAACTTAAGATAAATAAGGTAATAACAGTGCTGTAATTGTACATATGGTCATTAGGTGAGTTACAACGAATACAAGAAAACTGAATATTCCATTTGTTCATACTATATGGCTTTAATCAGTTAGGTAGAGAAGAATTACAGTTTTGATATGTATATAAAAAATACAGTATTACAATTTAGCACAATTTAAAACAGTGAAGTTGAAGCAATTTTAAGTTTGAAGTAATGATTAAATAGTTGAGCAATCATCAAGCACAATTTACAATAATGAAGAAAAGACACCAGCAATCCTACGATTGTGTAAAACAATTACATACAGGCTTCCACTTTACACTTCCTAAGCAAGACAGTAGTACCTCCCTGGGTAGTTGCTGCCTCTTCCTAAGCAAGACAGTAGTACCTCCCTGGGTAGTTGCTGCCTACCAACCTACTACTTAGCCACTGTCAACTCTATTAAAATATTTAAGAGAGATGTGATCTCAGAAACATAAAATAATCCCAGATTTAAAACTAATTTTTTTATGTAGTCTGCTGTTTTTATTGATGGATTCAAGATTTGCTTTGCCTCTGTCAATGTAAGTTTTCCTTCCCTCCTTTCCTGAGAATCTGGGAGGCCAATTGTATTTTGTTTTAGTACTGTATTAGTTTGTATCTAACTTTTAATTTTCTTCTTAGAAAAGTGTGAAGTGGGAGAGGGAGCATCAGTGCCATCTCTTGGGCTCTCCAACAAAGCAGTTAAAATTGCTGACCTTGAAGACCAGCAGAATCAAGAGGAAGGACAAGAGGCAGGCCAGATTTACTTTAAGCCTCTCTCTCTCTCTGGTTAGTAGCTTTAAAACAAGATCAATATCTGTAAGGAGTACTTGTGGTAGTGCTTTATCTCAGGCTTTGGAAAAGATTTTGAGGAGAGAGTAGTAGTATATATGTATGGACCATCATAATACACTTTATATCATGAACTAGTATAAGAACATTTTTTTCACTGAAGAAATTGACCTTCAATACAATTTAAAAAAATATTTTGCTAAAATTTTATCGGATTAAGCAAAATATCTCTTGGATAATGTTTATATATTTTATTTTTTTGAAGCTTAGTGTTATTGCTCACTTAATACATGATAGTGTAAACACGTTATCAGGCATTTTAGATGCATTCAATAATGGGAAAAATTGCTCTTTTCCACCAGTAGTGATTTTTGCTTATTGCACTGGGTCGAGAACCTAAGAGTCATACAAATGAGAGCCCTCTTGTATATCTGAGGGAGGATCCACCAATAGTAGAAGGTAGGAAAATATGTCTTGTCAAGATCTTTGTGTAGAGTAAGTAACTTTATTCAGGTATACATAGATAATCATACATAGCAGCATATGTGTAGAGAAGCTAGGGTACCCCAAAAAAGTCAGAGAGCAGCCATTGCCAGAATTCACTGAAGAATTTTGTACTGTATGTACAATTTTGTAGGTAGTAGGTTGGTAGACAGCAACCACCCAGGGAAGTACTACCGTCCTGCCAGATGACTGTGAAACAGAAACCTGTAACTGTTTTGCATGATGGTAGGATTGCTGGTTTCTTTTTCTGTCTCATAAACTCGCTAGATAACAGGGATTTCTTGCTACTCCTACTTACACTTTGGTCACACTTCACAGACACGCACATGCATATATATATATACATACATCTAGGTTTTTCTCTTTTTCTAAATAGCTCTTGTTCTTTTTTATTTCTTCTATTGTCCATGGGGAAGTGGAAAAGAATCTTTCCTCTGTAAGCCATGCGTGTCATATGAGGCGACTAAAATTCCGGGAGCAATGGGCTAGTAACCCCTTCTCCTGTAGACATTTACTGAAAAAGAGAAGAAGAAAAACTTTATAAAACTGGGATGCTTGAATGTGCGTGGATGTAGTGCGGATGACAAGAAACAGATGATTGCTGATGTTATGAATGAAAAGAAGTTGGATGTCCTGGCCCTAAGTGAAACAAAGCTGAAGGGGGTAGGGAAGTTTCGGTGAGGAGAAATAAATGGGATTAAATCTGGAGTATCTGAGAGAGTTAGAGCAAAGGAAGGGGTAGCAGTAACGTTGAAGGATCAGTTATGGAAGAAGAAAAGAGAATATGAATGTGTAAATTCAAGAATTATGTGGATTAAAGTAAAGGTTGGATGTGAAAAGTGGGTCATAATAAGCATGTATGCACCTGGAGAAGACAGGAATGTAGAGGAGAGAGAGAGATTTTGGGAGATGTTAAGTGAATGTATAGCAGCCTTTGAACCAAGTGAGAGAGTAATTGTGGTAGGTGACCTGAATGCTAAAGTAGGAGAAACTTTTAGAGAGGGTGTGGTAGGTAAGTTTGGGGTGCCAGGTGTAAATGATAATGGGAGCCCTTTGATTGAACTTTGTATAGAAAAGGGTTGAGTTATAGGTAATACATATTTTAGGAAAAAGAGGATAAATAAGTATACAAGATATGATGTAGGGTGAAATGACAGTAGTTTGTTGGATTATGTATTGGTAGATAAAAGACTGTTGAGTAGACTTCAGGATGTACATGTTTATAGAGGGGCCACAGATATATCAGATCACTTTTTAGTTGTAGCTACACTGAGAGTAAAAGGTAGATGGGATACAAGGAGAATAGAAGCATCAGGGAAGAGAGAGGTGAAGGTTTATAAACTAAAAGAGGAGGCAGTTAGGGTAAGATATGAACAGCTATTGGAGGATAGATGGGCTAATGAGAGCATAGGCAATGGGGTCGAAGAGGTATGGGGTAGGTTTAAAAATGTAGTGTTGGAGTGTTCAGCAGAAGTTTGTGGTTACAGGAAGGTGGGTGTGGGAGGGAAGAGGAGCGATTGGTGGAATGATGTAAAGAGAGTAGTAAGAGAGAAAAAGTTAGCATATGAGAAGTTTTTACAAAGTAGAAGTGATGCAAAGGGGGAATAGTATATGGAGAAAAAGAGAGAGGGTTAAGAGAGTGGTGAGGCAACGTAAAAAGAGAGCAAATGAGAGAGTGGGTGAGATGTTATCAACAAATTTTGTTGAAAATAAGAAAAAGTTTTGGAGTGAGATTAACAAGTTAAGGAAGCCTAAGAGAACAAATGGATTTGTCAGTTAAAAATAGGAGAGGAGAGTTATTAAATGGAGAGTTAGAGGTATTGGGAAGATGGAGGAATATTTTGAGGAATTGTTAAATGTTGATGAAGATAGGGAAGCTGTGATTTCGTGTATAGGGCAAGGAGGAATAACATCTTGTAGGAGTGAGGAAGACCCAGTTGTGAGTGTGGGGGAAGTTCGTGAGGCAGTAGGTAAAATGAAAGGGGGTAAGGCACCCGGGATTGATGGGATAAAAAATAGAAATGTTAAAAGAAAGGTGGGGGATATAGTTTTGGAGTGGTTGGTGCAATTATTTAATAGATTTTGGGAAGAGGGTAAGGTACCTGGGGATTGGCAGAGAGAATGCATAGTTCCTTTGTATAAAGGCAAAGGGGACAAAAGAGAGTGCAAAAATTATAGGGGGGATAAGTTTGTTGAGTGACCTGGTAAAGTGTATGGTAGAGTTATTATTGAAAGAATTAAAAATAAGACGGAGAATAGGATAGCAGATGAACAAGGAGGCTTTAGGAAAGGTAGGGGGTGTGTGGACTAGGTGTTTACAGTGAAACACATAAGTGAACAGTATTTAGTAAGGCTAAAAAGGTCTTTGTGGCATTTATGGATTTGGAAAAGGCGTATGACAGGGTGGATAGGGGGGCACTGTGGGGATGTTGCAGGTGTATGGTGTAGGAGGTAGGTTATGAAAACAGTGAAGAGTTTTTACGAGGATAGTGAGGCTCAAGTTAGAGTATGTAGGAAAGAGGGAAATTATTTTCCAGTAAAATAGGCCTTAGACAAGGATGTGGGGATGTCACCGTGGTTGTTTTAATATATTTATAGATGGGGTTGTAAGAGAAGTAAAAGTGAGGGTCTTGGCAAGAGGCGTGGAGTTAAAAGATTAAAGAAAACGCACATAAAGTGGGAGTTGTCACAGTTGCTCTTTGCTGATGACACTGTGCTCTTTGGAGATTCTGAAGAGAAGTTGCAGAGATTGGTGGATGAATTTGGTAGGGTATGCAAAAGAAGAAATTAAAAAATGAATACAGGAAAGAGTAAGGGTTTTGAGGATAACAAAAGATTAGGTGATGAAAGAAATTTGGATATCAGATTGGAGGGAGAGGGTATGGAGGAGGTGAATGTATTCAGATATTTGGAGTGACGTGTCAGCGGATGGGTCTATGAAAGATGAGGTGAATCATAGAATTGATGGGGGAAAAGGGTGAGTGATGCACTTAGGAGTCTGTGGAGACAAAGAACTTGTCCTTGGAGGCAAAGAGGGGAATGTATGAGAGTATAGTTTTACCAACGTTTTATATGGGTGTGAAGATGGGTGATGAATGTTGCAGCGAGGAGAAAGGCTGGAGGCAGTGGAGATGTCTGTCTGAGAGCAATGTGTGGTGTGAATATAATGCAGAGAATTTTAGTTTGGAAGTTAGAAGGAGGTGCGGGATTACCAAAACTATTGTCCAGAGGGCTGAGGAAGGGTTGTTGGGGTGGTTCGGCAATGTAGAGAGAATGGAGCAAAACAAAAATGACTTAAAGAGTGTATCAGTCTGTAGGGGAAAGGAGGCGGGGTAGGGGTCAGCCTAGGAAAGGTTGGAGGGAGGGGGTTAAAAGGAGGTTTTGTGTGCGATGGGCTTGGACTTCCAGCAGGCATGCGTGAGCGTGTTTGATAGGAGTGAATGGAAACAAATGGTTTTTAATACTTGATGTGCTGTTGGAGTGTGAGCAAAGTAACATTTATGAAGGGGTTCAGGGAAACCGGCAGGCCGGACTTGAGTCCTGGAGATGGGAAGTACAGTGCCTGCACTCTGAAGGAGGGGTGTTAATGTTGCAGTTTAAAAACTGTAGTGTAAAACACCCTTCTGGCAAGACAGTGATGGAGTGAATGATGGTGAAAGTTTTTCTTTTTCAGGCCACCCTGCCTTGGTGGGAATCGGCCAGTGTGATAATAATAAAAAAAAAAAGTACAATTTGCTATATACAGTATTTATTTTTGTATATCCAATTTTGTATACACAGGCAGGCCCTGCTCGTACAGCAGGTTAGATTCTGTAAAGATTTTGTAAAGCGAAAATTGCTGTAAAGTGAAGCATTGCCATTTTTCACTTTCAAATGCATATAAAAGACTGATAACATGTTTACACTATCATATATTAAGTGAGAAATAGAGGTAGCCCTAAAAAGTGTATATATACTAATACAATACATACGTTACTTACCTTAAAAGATTTTCGTCTTTAGCTTGTAGTTAGTGGTGAATATATTTGTTGTAGGAAGTCTGAATAATTGAAGAATGGGTATAACAGAAAACCACTGCATTAGTGAAACCCTGAAAAGCAAAGCACTGTAAAGTGGGGCCTGCCTGTATATTTTGTACATACAATTTTATATCATTTTTTTATATATGTACACTTATAAGCTTCCTATAATTGAAATTTGGTATAACGTGATTATGGTATATCATATATGTGTAATAATTAATCATTTGTTGCTTTTCTTATATTTCAGCACCACCAACAGAAGACCAATTAATGCAAAACACATTGTGGCCTGAAGCCACCAAGCTGTATGGTCATGGTAATGATATTATTGCCTTAGCTGCTTCATCTGATGGGACAATTCTTGCATCTTCCTGTAGAGCAGCTAATAACATGGATGCCCATATTATCCTTTGGTAGGTCATCTGCACTGTACAGCCTCTTCTCACTTAATGATTGAGTTCCGTTCCTAAGACCATGTCGTTAAATGAATTCATCGCTAAGTTAGGAGCATACCATAATGGTAGTGAGTTTGTGTCAACCATCTTTGATATTGTTTTAATGTCACCTTTGCATCATTTATAACATTTCTGGTATATTTTTAAATGTTTATACAATAGTGTACTGTGCAGTGGTACCCCAAGTTGCATACTGCTCCCAACTCCAACAGTTATATATGTAGTATTGTAAGTCTATTTTTGGGGGTCTGAAACGGACTAATCTAATTTACATTATTCCTTATGGAAACAAATTCGTTCAGTAACGGCACTCGAACAGCCTTCTGGAACGAATTATGTCTGAAACTTGTGGTACCACTGTATGTTGAAATAAACAGAATATAGGAAATCAGCTCTAATACACATTATTTAGGTATGAATACTGGTCAGAGAGCACGTCGTAAGTCCGAAGCATCAGTATATGAGTACAACGCTAAGTGAGGAGAGGCTGTATTGCTTGCTCTATGACTGAGAAACGACTAACATACAAATAACTATGACATATTATTATCTCTGAAACATTTCTCAGGAAGTGGACAGGACTTAACCTGTGTCCAGGCATTCAATCTTCTTACTACAAAAGTATTTACTGACACTGATTTGTTTCATGTGTACACTTTGAATACAATAGGTTTTTTTTGGGCAGTTAGCTATTCAGCGTTCATCATTTTCTGGCAGTCTTTTTCTCAGAGTATATAAACAGATAATGCAGAAAGGAATGTGCATACAATTGGGACCATAAGGGTCAATTATTTAGTGTTTTTAAAAATTCGATGTACCATTTCCCTGACAATACCATATAATTGATATTCTATTGTATATGAAAAACAGAGATTTTATTTTTGTGCTTTTCAGAATTAAATTCTTTATTCTTTCTTTCAACACACCGGCCGTATCCCACCGAGGTGGGGTGGCCCAAAAGGAAAAACGAAAGTTTCTCCTTTTACATTTAGTAATATATACAGGAGAAGAGGTTACTAGCCCCTTGCTCCCGGCATTTTAGTTGCCTCCTACAACACGCATGGCTTACGGAGGAAGAATTCTGTTCCACCTTCCCATGGAGGTAAGAGAAAATAAACAACGAGAACAAGAACTAGTAAGAAACTATTAGAAAACCCAGAGGGGTGTGTATATATATGCTTGTACATGTATGTGTAATGTGACCTAAGTGTAAGTAGAAGTAGCAAGACATACCTGAAATCTTGCATGTTTACAAGACAGAAAAATGGACACCAGCAATCCTACCATCATGTAAAACAATTACAGGCTTCCATTTTACACTCACTTGGCAGGACGGTAGTACCTCCCTGGGCGGTTGCTGTCTACCAACCTACTACCTACTAAATTCTTTATATTTTTTTTTATTTTTCTTATGTAGCATATACAGTGGACCCCCGCTTAACGATCACCTCCAAATGCGACCAATTATGTAAGTTTATTTATGTAAGTGCGTTTGTACGTGTATGTTTGGGGGTCTGAAATGGACTAATCTACTTCACAATATTCCTTATGGGAAAAAATTCGGTCAGTACTGGCACCTGAACATACTACTGGAATGAAAAAAGTTCGTTAACTGGGGGTCCACTGTATTACTATATTCTATTTTATGACAGTAACTAATGCATTATTAAATATGCACACACTACAGCACCCAAACAAGAATAGTTAAAATACGTAGGTAGTAGTTTGGTAGACAGCAACCACCCAGGGAGGTACTTCCGTCCTGCCAAGTGAGTGTAAAACGAAAGCCTGTAATTGCTTTACATGATGGTAGGATTGCTGGTGTCTTTTGTCTGTCTCATAAACATTCAAGATTACAGGTATGTCTTGCTACTCCTACTTACACTTAGGTCACAATACACATACAATGTACATGTTTATTTATACACACTCATCTGAATTTTCTTTGATTTTATCTTAATAGTTCTTGGTCTTATTACTTTTCCTTTTATATCCATGGGGAAGTGGAATAAGAATCTTTCCTCCGTAAGCCATGCGTGTTGTAAAAGTCAACTAAAATACCGGGAACAATATGCTAGTAACTCCTTTTCCTGTAATAATTACTAAAAAGAATAAGAAGAAAAAAATTGTCTAAGTGGGAAGTCTGAATGTGCGTGGATATTGTGCAAATGATAAGAAAGAGATGATTGTGGATATTATGAATAAGAAGAAGATGGACGTCCTGGTTTTAACCCTTTGACTGTCGCGGCCATATATATATGTCTTACGAGGTACCGTGTTTGACGTATATTTACTCATAAATTCTAGTGGCTTCAAATCAAGCAGGAGAAAGCTGGTAGGCCCACATGTGAGAGAATGGGTCTGTGTGGTCAGTGTGCACCATATAAAAAAAATCCTGGAGCACGCAGTGCATAATGAGAAAAAAAAACTCCGACCGTTTTTTTTAATTAAAATGCCGACTTTGTGGTCTATTTTTGTATAGTATTTATGGTTGTATTCTCGTTTTCTTGGTCTCATTTGATAGAATGGAAAACATATTATAGAAATAGAGGTGATTGATTTTACTATAAAAAGAACCTAGAAATGGAGCTCAAAGTAGTGGAAATGTTTGATTTTTGCCAATGTTCAAAAGTAAACAAATGATGCCATTGTCCAATAAATGTCCAACTAGCCATTCTAATATGCAGTCATGAATGGGTTGATGTTATTTATACAATTATTACAGTATTGCAGTAGTCTGCATAATAGTAAGTCTTCTATTTTTGTTTGAATAAAAAATTCAAAATAGAAAGCAAGAGTAATATCAGAGGGGCCTGAAGACATGACTGATCAGCAAAGAAAATTTTATTGCATTGTTCATTCTGGACCTTATTTTGAAATTGTCATATTTTTTAGTTTTCGTGAAATTGGCCAAATTGCAAATTTCTGACCACATTATTAGGTAGTTGAATCGGTAAATGGGCAGTTTCTTGTGCTCAATCGATAGAAAAAATGGAGTTCTAAAGAAATAGCTATGAGTTTGGGCAACTGGAACATGGAATTAGCCGAAAATAGGGCTCAAAGTGGGCGAAATTTACCGATTTGTAAACAGCGCCGAGGTCGCTAACTTCGCGAGAGCATAAATTTCCGTCAGTTTTTCCATCAAAATTTCGTTTTTTTGGTGTATACAATCGGAAAAAATTCATATCATTTACATAAGAAAAAATCATTTTTTTTTTTTATTTTGCGCTCAGGAGACACCTCAGGATTGGGGGTTGCGACAGTCAAAGGGTAAGTGAAACAAAGCTGAAGGGGGTGGAGAGTTTCAGTGGAGGGAAAAATGAGATAGTCAGGGGTCTCCAAATGAGTTGAGCTAAGAGGAGTAGCATAATGTTGAGGATAAGTATGGCAGGAAAAGAAGGACTATAAATGCATTATTCAAGATTATGTGAGTAAATAAGGGAGGTGAAAGTGGTTATAGTAACTACATGCACTTGGAGAGAGAGAAGTGTATGAGGAGAGAGAGAATTTGGAAATGTTCATGAATGCGTGGGAGTTTGAACCAAGTGAGAGTAATGGTGGTGGGAATTTCAGTGCTAAGGGGGGAAACGTTTGTGGAGGAAGTAGTAGTGTAAATTTGGGGTGCAGGGGTAATGTAATGGGGAGCCTTAATGAGCTATGTGTAGGAAAGGAGTGTTTGGTAATAAGTAATAGTATTTGAAAGAAGAGGTTAAATAAAAAAGTATGATATAGAATGTATGAAAATAGTTGTTAGATTAGTTTTGGTGGATAAAAGTTGATGGTAGTCCAGGATGTACCATTAAGAGGGGCAACGATATATCGGATCATTATTTGTTTAGCTAACAATGAAGGTGAAGAGGTAGATGGGAAAGAGGAAAATGGCAACAAGTAGAGGAGGTGACAGTGTATAAACAAGGAGGAGAAGTTCAGGATGAGATATAAGCAATTGCAAAATGTCGGGGGGTTGAGAGGGTGGAATAGTTTTAAAAGCAGTATTAGAATGTGGGGCAAGAAGTTTGTGTTACGAGAGGTGGGTGCAGGAGGAAGGAGAGGGTGATTGGTGAATGATGAAGTAAAGGGTGTGTATAAAAAAGAAAAAGTTACTTAGAGAGGTTTTTCAAGCAGGGAGTCTGTGAAGAAGAGTAGAGTATATGGAGAGTAAAAGAATAGGTGAAGAGGTGCAAAGGAGCGCAGATGATAGAATGGGAGAGGCACTGTCAAGAATTTTAATGAAAATAAGAAAAAATTTGAGTGAGTTAAACAAGTATTCTAGAAAGCCTAGAGAACGAATGGATTGTCAGTTAAACAGAGTAGGGAGTTAGTAGATGGGGAGAGGAGGTATTGGGTAGATGGCGAGAATATTTTGAGGAACTTTTAAATGTCGACGAAGAAAGGGGGACTGTAATTTCATGCGCTGGCCAGGGAGGTATACCATCTTTTAGGAGTGAAGAAGAACAGGATGTGAGTGTGGGGGAGGTGCATGAGGCATTACATAGAATGAAAGGGGGTAAAGCAGCTGGAACTGACGGGATTATGACAGAAATGTTAAAAGCAGGGGGGGATATAGTGTTGGAGTGGTTGGTACTTTTGTTAAATAAATGCATGAAAGAAGGGAAGGTACATCGGGATTGGCAGAGAGCATGTATAGTCCCTTTACAGAAAGGGAAGGGGGACAAAAGAGATTGTAAAAATTATAGAGGAATAAGTTTACTGAGTATACCAGGAAAAGTGTGTGATAGGGTTATTATTGAAAGAATTAGAGGTAAGACAGAATGTAGGATTGCAGATGAGCAACAAGGTTTTAGAGTGGGTAGGGGATGTGTAGATCAAGTGTTTACATTGAAGCATATATGTGAACAGTATTTAGATAAAAGTAGGGAAGTTTTTATTGCATTTATGGATTTAGAAAAGGCATATGATAGAGTGGATCGGGGAGCAATATGGCAGATGTTGCAAGT